GCGAGATGGTATCGGCTTTTGCATCTCTTAGGCAATGTGTGTACAGCCAGAGGGCAAGACACGCTATAATGCCATGCTAATTGCCCGAGTGCGTATGCGAAAACTCTCCTGTTGTGAAAAAGCCAACAGAAACAAACCCCAACTCCCTTCTAATGATGCTGCCCAATTAGCACCGCTCCCTGCTCACGGCAAGGGGAGCCCGTCCTGCGCCAGCGGGGCAGGATTTAACGTGGTTTCTCACGTACGGCACTGGCGTGCAGGCCCGGCACGCGGGGGAAGCGAAGGCTTGGGTAAATGTACACAGTTGGGGTCCTCAGAGCAGCAAGCTTTGGTTATCCAGGGGTGAAGGTCGCTGCTGGCTCTCTGCAGTTCACTGGTAGGAGGAGGCACTTCCAGACAAACGGCTCGTGTGTTATCCTGGAGATTAATCCCACCTATCCCTTTCCTCATGGCCTGGGCAGAGGCAGCGTGACTGGCTGAGGTCTCCTTGGACGTCTGCTTAAGCTGTCCTTGTTCCTGAGAAAGACGTCTGTCGTTTGCACGGCCGTGGGGTGACCAGAGCTCCCAGCCCAGCAGCCAGTGGCCAGGTTAAGCCTTAGGCTGGAAAATGGACTTTTAGGCTACTGAAGTTAGATAAAATGATTTAGCATCAGAATAATTCATCTTCCATTAAGAATTACCGCAGAGCTTTGAAATGTATTGCGTACGCATTGGTGAACACCACTGGCCCTCAGGAACCAAACGCAGTGTATGGGTTGAAATTTCCTGTTTCATTCCTCAAAAGGAAATCTCTTGCTAAATGTGCACACATACGTTGTTTTATTTTCTCAACGATTTCACACATTATGTGCATGGTTTCCTCTCCTCTCCCCTCTGCTGCCTAATAGACCATGTTGTTGGTCAGTGTTTGTCACGTTTTAGGGCTCGTTGCCAGTCAATAATTCTGCAGAGAACAGATCTGATCGCACTGGACGTGGTGGCCTGTTCCTGTGCCGAAACTTTATGTACCCCGTCAAACGTCGACCAGATAAGAGATCTGATCACTGCACACCCTTTCCCTGCCCTTTCACTTCAGTCTTTTGCTTTTGTGAACTTTTCCAAAGGATTTTTTATTTCATCCCATGCTCAAATACATTTTGAGATATGCCATGGAGTTACTGGTGGTTGTTATACGAGTGTAAAATGCCTTTAAGCATTTGCCAGGCAAAGGCAGAGCTCTTTTACCTATGAACCTCCGTAGTTTTATTTTAAACTGTTTGTGGCATCATGGATTTAGTGCAATACTGTTCCTGAAAGAGTGAGCTGTGTTACTTGTTTGAAAGCAAATATGGGTGCTGAGATGCTTGTGGGTCCAGGTTTGTTACAGATCTCAGAATAAGGCCTTCTGGAAGAAGTCTGCATGATGAAGAGCCAAGCAATTGAAGAAGAAAGTTCACTGCCTAATAGGAAAAGCCTGGAAAGCAATCCTATTAAACCCCCTGTTCTGCTAAGTCCTGATGTCAATTTATAGGTGTTTTCTATAGACATAAGGGAAGGTTCGCTTCCCGCTCAGAGCAAACCCCAGCAGCAGTTTCCCACAGCGCCCCTGAGAACTTTCTTTCCTCGTCTTCTTTCTGTGTCCCAATTGCCGTGGAGTTGTCCCAAACTTGTTTTCCTACCAGTGGAAACCACTGAGCCGTTTGTGTGCGCTGGGCTGCGCTGAGGAGAGGAGAAGTTGCAGCTGGCGCCGCCTGCACCGTGGCCATAGGTGTGGTGGAGTCACGGACGACTTGCGGGGCGTAATGGGAAAGGGAAAAGGCCTGCAAGGATTCCTGGGGACAAGAATGGTCCTTGAAAACATTTGACCAGAGGTCTGGACTGTGGCGTTGATCCTTTCTGTGGTTCTGTCACTCTTTAAAAGTTTTATTTCTGGAGCGATTTGCCTGCGGTGTAAATGGAAGCTACAGTTGTGGTAAAGTATCTTTTGTCTTGATATGTTTTATGTCAGACTTCTTTGGGTTTTTTTATAAGCTTTTTGTGTAGTTCTTAAATATCACGAGAGACATTTATGTTATGAAGTTTTCCGTCTACTCACGGCACTCGGCTGCGATTCGAGAGATGCAATCCCCATTTCTGGCTCCGTCCCTCAGCTCGCAGCGTGCCCCAGGGCCTGCTTTCCTGCTGTACCCAGCCTGGCATCGTCACAAACTGCTACCGAAAACGGCCCCGTGTCGCACTCTGCCCCTGCCCGGTGCCTGCAGCGTCCCCTCCGTCACATCCAGGGACGGTGGCTTCGGGACGGCTTCATCCCGCTTTGCTGCGGTTCAACACCAGGATTGCCGCGCTGGGCCGTCTCCTCGAGGGCTTGGAGCCGCTGCCAGGGCATGGGCTGTGCGCCCCGGCGCTCGTCTGCTTCTGGTTTCCCAGTGGAAGATGTTACCTGGGAGGTCCTAACGGTCATCAGTGGCACAGCGCTGAGTGACTGCTGCAGAGAGGTGTGCGCGCCCTGGGAGATTTGACTGGCGCTCAAAGAGAAGATTAAAGAAAATAGATGTAATGGCTCTTGTGGAATAGGCGGGTTTAGCCTCATTGGCGAGAGCAGGGCTGGATGTAGAAGAACTGGCTGGGGTGGACTGTCAGTGCCTTGCAGCCCTCGGTGCAGAAGTCGGGTGAGCGTTCTGGGTGGCTGCTGCAGGAGGTTTGGCTGTCAGCTCGACTGAGGAGCTCTGGAGGACTTTGCGAAATTCTGGTGTCAGAAAAAAATGGTCAGTGTTTCAAGAGGAACAGTTCAGGCTTGTGTTAAGCGTTCAAATATACGTGTATTTGATTTTATTTTTAACAAGAGCCAGAGTCTGACGTAAGACAAATTGTCTTGTTTACCTGTGCCTTCATCTCTTTACTTGACTGTTTGTATTTCTCGTTGACTGGGGGGATCGTTTTTGTCACGTTTGTAAAAGGAGAAGTGACCAAACTGATGTTACAGAGGAAACAAGCTGTTCAATATGACAGAGTCTTACCAAATACATTCAGAAATCAAGCACAGAGAAGGAACCTGCAGTATTTTGGCTGTGGAGGTCTTGATGTCACCTGTACCAGTGGGCGATACTGCTCCAACAAACGGTTGTTGCAGTTGGTCCCCATTTTTTAAGGGGCTGGGTCATGAAACCAGTTTGTTTAAGTGGAAATGAATGTGTGCTTGTTTCCTTTTCTTCCTTACATTCCCCTTACGTACTGCAAACCCAGCAGGTGACAGGAAAAGCGTCTTCCAAGAAACTTCTACTTTTACAGGTTTGGTGGTTTTCACACCCTGGTACCCTGCCATGTGCGGGTGCAGTGCGAGTGCCGCGGGGACGCAGTGGGTGCTGGCGCAGGTCCTGACCTCTCCTCGTCAGTGAACACGTCACCAGCCTGCTGCTGGGTTTCGTTGTGCCCAAAGGCTCCCGATTGCTGTGGAAGCAAAACGTTTGACTTGGTTTAATAGTATTAAAAGTCGCTTTTTGCTGTGGTTTATGCAGTAGAGTGAAGAATCCTCCACGACTGGGTGTTCTCACAGAAACATCTGGAATCGTCTAATTCTGAGAGCTGTGGTTAAAGCCAAACTGGATACTCCTTGATATTCCCCCTTCCAAATTCCATTAGTTAACTTATGTTTTGCCCCATACCTATGTATCATTTTTTGCTGAGTTCTTTTTGGTTTCAGTCCTGATCCCTCACCTCCTGATCCCCAACTACAGCTGATGCTTAACCAGGGAAACCTCTGCAGCCTTAGAGGGGCTGGAAGCACCCCTGGACCCTGTGAGTGAGGGATGGGTCCCACCCGCAGCAGCACCCGGCTCCGTGCTCTGGGATGGGACGTCCCAACTCCGTGCGCTGGGATGGGACGTCCTAACTCTATGCACTGGGATGGGACGTCCCCAGCTCCATGCACTGGGATGGGACGTCCCAGCGGAGCAGGGCAGGGAGTTGAAGTGGGCTCCCCCAAGAGTGGCAGTCGGGAGCGCTGCCCCTCTGCTCCTGCTCTCAGTTGGCTCCTTGGAGCTGCTGGTTCCTGCTGTCATTTTCAAGAGCTTTTCCGATTCTTCTCAGCCCTGTGTTTCCCACCATAGGAACAGTCTGGTATCAGCTTTCCCGAGTCCCCCTCTGCCCCTTGTTTAAAACACAAATACACAGTGGCTGCTAACGAATGTGTGGGGCTCGTTCTCCTTTGGCTCCCAACCACCGTCAGTGACTACCTCTGTCTTTCTGGGTTGGTGGAGTTGTTTTGTACTTCGAAGTCAGACGTGGTACTTGGAGATCAGGCAGATATTTGACTACCCCACGGTAGTTTTTAATTTGGCTATTTACACCTGAGACAAAAGCAGCAGCTTTCTGCGTCGTCTGCAGGAGCCACGCGGTGGATAGGACAGGCAGCAGCTTTTTAAGGACAAACGCAGTCGTCGGGGTACAGCGCTGGATGTGGTTATGGCATTGCACTGAGGAGAAGGTTATTTTGGTCACCCCAGTAAAAATATGCAGGCAAAAAACGAAGGTTTCCTACCAGCTGAAGATCTAGAAACCCTGTTTTGTAGTGAGAAGCCTCACCTTAAAAACTGTGATTGGGAATAGAGGCGCCATAATCTCCTTGCTCTACTTTATGGGTCTCATTATAAAGTTCTATTTTCAGGATCTAATTACTTTAAGTTAAAGTACTTGCCGTGTGCGAAGCACCTTGCAGTTTCTGAGGTGCTGTACTCGCACCCCATGAGCTCTGTGGGAGAAAGGCAGGCATCGCCTGGTTTGCATTTGCGGACACAGATACCACGAGCTGGTGCTTCTCCAGCTGTGAAGTGAGTTAATGATGGGCCGAGTCGTAGCCCTGCGCTTGCCGCGGCTCTGTCAATGGGTTATTAATGGTTTTGCCCTCTTAGGAGAGGAAGAAGAAAGCAGCAGACCCGACAAAATCAGATGTGTGTAACTGAGCGAATGTTTTACTCTGAATTGCCTGACGGCGCCATGTGATGTTCTGAACCTTCGTTCTGTAGGTCAGTAACAGATCCACGCGACGGAAAGAGAGTTGCACTCAAAAAGATGCCCAACGTCTTCCAAAATTTGGTCTCTTGTAAAAGGGTCTTCCGGGAGTTGAAGATGTTGTGTTTTTTTAAGCATGACAATGTAAGTAAATTCAAAGTCATTTTTAAGTCTTTGATAAAGCCTAATTGTGTAATGGAGCTATCTGTAACAGAAGGGGTTTCTTTTTCATTTAAATTATAGAATAACTAAAATGCTTTAAAAGCTCTCTAATTTTATGGTTATCAGATTTCCTGGAAACTCAGATATTGCTGTTGCAAGCACTGTACAAATGGAATTATCAAGAATCTAAGGATATTCATAATTTCCCTTCCAAAATGATTGCAAATAGACAGGCAATACACTTCCACCTAATCTTGTTTTGGGCTTTAGATAAATGTCGGTCTGCGCAAAGCTGTGCCAGCTGGAGTTGCTTTTTTGCGTTTCTTTCAAATATTTTATGGGTATATACCTGTATTTGAAATAAACCAATTCTTACTAGGTAGATAAGTTTACGCTTTTACTTGAACAGCTGGAAAAAGTTTCTTGAATGATAAAAGAAGAGCCCCTGAATGTAGAGAATACCAGACTGACGGGCTGTTCAAGCCCCGTATTTCGTGGCCCAGAGCATTGCCACGGCTGCGGGACGCGGCACGGCTCAGCTCTGCAGTCAGGGTGCACCCCCCTGCCTCCTTGGAAGGGGTTTGGATTTGCTTGATCTCATGTGGTGTTTCCTAGGTACTCTCTGCCCTCGACATCCTCCAGCCTCCACACATCGACTATTTTGAAGAAATGTATCCTAAATATAAAATAAGGCATCTCAGTTGAGGTAGGTGTCGTTAGCTTAGAGACTGCAGGTAGCCGGTGGAATCCACGCAACACAACTGCAAAGACACGGAGCCTGCGTCTGAACGGTTTTATTTAAAGAAGTGAATCCACCGTTGAGAACTTCAGTGGCTGGTAACGTTGGAGATGAAGTGGTGCGGGATTGAACACGAAGCTTGGAATACGCGAGAGCTTTATGAACTGTTGAGATATTTTTACAACAAGCTGTTAGTAACAAAATGTCCTTTGTAGGCTTTGGTAAAAGTGATATTTTAGAGAGCAGATCACCAAATATCCTAACACACTGACATTTCCATTACCAAATTAACATTTCGGTACAGGGATCTGCCATGCAGCTGAGGTCAGCAAATAGACTTCTGCGTTTCTGTGGAAAACCCCGACAGCAAACACCAGAAATCGGACTCGGTGCTGAGGTGTGGAAAGCGAGCACTGGGATCGTAGCGCGTTCAGCGATGTGCACGTCACCTCGTTGCACTGCTCCGTTCACAGCTTTGGTTGCAGTCTTGCCGGTTTCCACATCCAAATTGAGAAAGTGAAAACTGTCTCCCCAGGCTGAAATTGCTACCCAAGTCTTGTACATCAGGTGGGGGGTGACAAATTGTCCGATGCACGCTTGGGTAAGACACCTGCCAGTCAATTTTCATCTGAAAATGCATGCGTATCCGTTCAGGAGCACGTGTGAAGTGTTAGGATTGAGGGTTTGGGTTTGTTTTCTAAAATGATACAGGTTTATGTTTAAATGAGAGCGTTTCCTGTTCCCTGGCTGCAGAGCAGGGTTTGGGTTTAACCAGAAGCGAATGCGCTGTCCACAGCTGCCCGGGTCGCGCTCTGCTCTGGCGGTGTCGTCTTCATGGAGCTGGTGGCTGCTGAGGGGGCTCGGCTGCTTTTTGGCCTGACCCGCTTTACAGGACAATTGGTGGGGGGAAAATTGTCCTTCTGTATTTTTAGATAAACGGAACTTGGTGAAGTGCGGTTTGATCTATTTATAATGCCGTGAATTGGCTGAGGGAAGGAGGTCTGTTTTAAGCTGGGTGACTTAACCGAAGCACAGCATGATTTACGGGCCGGTAAACAAGTTCACTGGTTGAAAATACTGCTGTGCTATATTAGGGCTTTTTCATATGAATGTTAGGTAAAGCTCTGAAAGTTTGCTTTGATGTGTCTTTCATGTGAGTGGCATACGAGCAGTCTTCAAAACCCGGATTTTGGTTATTTGCACTAGTTCAATGCCCTCCTTTTATAGCAAGTCATACGAGTTATAAATCAGATCTAGGTTAAGGATTGCTCCTTCCGTGTAATTGTATGGTGAAGAATATTTAAATGGGATAAGCTTATTTTTATGAGCTTAGCTACTGCCAAGTTTTGAATGTTAAGCCAGAAATGTTAGTCTCCTTCATGGTTTACTGATTTTAAGTCATTCTGGCTGGTATTTTATAGGACTGTCTTTTGTCTTTTCTCATTTGTTTGCACTTCTTGACTCTAATCTCGGTAACAGAAAACTATTTACTTTGTGTAGTTTTCTTTTTCATTTCTTTGGCAATAATTGCAATAAGCGCACTTATGACCCTCAAATTCATTAGGAGAACGAATGGTGTTTCACTTTGTGTGCACATTTTTAATTGCAGGTGCTTGTGCTCACAGTAGTAGAAGGAGAACTTATTTCACATTTATTTTATAAGAAGATCAGGTAACTCTATTCCATATTTGGGGGTTGGAGTTGTAAAAACTTCTCTTATTGACCCACCAGTGTGGTTCCTAAAGGCGTCGTGGCCATGTCCCGGTTGTACCATGCGGTGTGTTGACCTGTGATGAAAGCACAAGGGGATTGCGTTGGCACTGCTTGCTTTCCTCGATCCTTCCTGAGGAGTTGCAGTGCCTGTCGGGTTAGTTTCCATTCTTCAGTCTGGATTCTGCTGGCAGTGTGTGCCCGGCTGAGAATGGTTCAGGCAAAATAAGCTGAAATTTTGAATTTTAAACCTTTCATAGGTAATCAAATTGTCTTAATTCCTGATTTAAGGATTCTGACTTGATTTTTGAACAGTCTGAAATGCCACTGTGAGAGAAGGTTTGAAAGGGATAGCCTAGGCTGGGAACTCGTCACAGCGCAGGTTTGACACGTGGTGGTGTCTTTAAAAAAATCTCTTTTAAAAGCTGTTACCTGTAACAGAAAAGTCAGCAAGTTTTAAACATAAATGACTTAGACAACTATTAAGTTCCTTAAATCTTTTTGAATAATTCTTGCACTATTTTTACATGGGCCAGGTCTTTATTTTTCATGTTTTGGGGCCCGATACAAAATGAGGGGGTTACAGAAATACTTCTATTAGGAGGCTGTCAAGTCTGCAAACACTTAGGGTGGTGTCACAAAGCGAGTTTGATAGGATCCTAATGTGAAAACAAGTATAACTATAAAGTATATTAAATAGGAGAAAACCCCTTGCTCCCACTTTATTGAAAATCCTGAAATATTTAAGTTTTGGGTTTGTTTTTTTTTTAAAAAAAAAGCCTGTTTCTCACCGTGTGGTGCAGACAGACCCCTCCACTGCACTGTTAGCATCCACCTCATCCACCTACCCCAGAACCTGTGCACAGAGTCCTCTCCTCTGCCCAAAACTCCAGTCCGTGGAGTTAAGTTTTGAGGTATGCAGGGACCTGACGCAGGAGGATCCGAGTCCTGATGAGCAACCACGCCACGAGTGCACTTCATTCCTTTTTAAAATCTGCTGTCGCTCTGTGGAAGGCACCAGCTCAGCACTCTCCCAGTCCGCAGAGTGAGTGAAGCTCTTGTGCCGTGCATTTGCCTCGATAATTATTCTGCAGCAAATTGGTACATTTGTAGTTCTAATTTTATACAGCTACTTAACTAATTACTGCTGTCAGGAGCAATTTTTATCTGGTAGTAATGTTCAGCTTAGCTGCAGATTACAGCTCCAGTGACCACCTCGTAGCCAGCTTATCTTATGGTTTGACTTAAAACCGAAAAGGACGGGTACCCGAGTGGTTGGTGGAAATCCCGTGGGGTTTGTGGTTTGGGTTTGCTCGACATTTCCAGCGGCGGCCGGAGCGAAGCCATGGACCCATTTGGGCAGCGGCCGTTTAAGGAGCCGTCCCGTTTGTCACCCAAGGCTGCTTCGCTCGCGGTTACAGACCCTCATGAAATGATGGAGAGGCAGCGATCGGACAGCGCTGCGCACGTGAACGGAGCTCGGAGCCCGGCCCAGAGCTCCAGTTAACGCACAGAGACCTGGGGTGCTGCAGGTGCCATTTCAGGCCCTCCTTTAATTTAAGCTGCTTTAGTTGGCATGGCAACTAGTGGAGACATCTGGGAGACATTACGCTCGGGTTTGAGATTTAGGAGGATTTGTGGCACAGCAAAACAAAAATCTTATCGTAATAAAGTGCCGAGTAATGCTTTGGGATTTTTTTTTTTTTAGTATTTTACATAAAAAAATGAGATGTAAAGATTTGTTGCCGCTATAAAGTAAAAACCAGAATTTTAAAAGGCTGATATAAATATTTAAGAGAGCCTTTGCAAAAGGAAACGAGAAATTAGAGGACTGGAAATTCTGGTGCTGCAGGGTTGGATTTTCTCTTTATGAATTCTTTATGAGTGCAGTTTTAATTTCAGGGTCTTTTAGTAAGAGTCGTCGGTATTTAGTTTATAAATTTGTTCTTTGTGTGCTGTGCTGGTGGCAGCTGAACAATTGGGCTGACAGGGATTTGGCTGGACAGGGTTTGCAGAGCAGCAGATGGCAGGAGAACATTGATTAGGTAGAGATGAAAGAAAGCCCAAGTTCCTCTAGATGTTGTAAGTGCCACTTGACCTGTGCCAGGTAATGGCTGGTAATGGTAAGAACAAGTACAGGCTTCTGCTGAAGCCGACTTGCTTCATTATTATTACAACCAAATTACATTGACCAGTGGGGTCGGTTTAGGGAGGTGCAGGTGTTGGTGGAGCAGCCTGCACGGGCCCTTCGGTGACCGCATTTCACCGGCTCCCACCGCCCGCTGAAGCGTGCTGCTGTGTGCACCATGGAGATGCTCCTTTGCTTGTTTGTAACTTGTGGCTCACCAGCCTTAAGGAAAAAAATAAAGGTTTCAAGATGCCACTAATTATATTAAGATTTTATTTTGTTTTCTGACTCTGGAATAATTCTGTAACAACTTCCTTAACGCAAACACTGCTTTACTGAGTAATCTGTCTTCTTTCACAACCCGCTTTTTATTTTCATTCTTGTAAGAGTCTGGAGTCTTGACCTCTGAAGAGGCTTTGTTCGTTTTTACTGGATAGCTCTGACCTGTGAGCGCTCACATTTCTAGGAGTTAGAGTAAATGTTTCAAGAGGTTTTGTGCCGGACTTTCTGCTTTTGCCTTAACTGATGAACTGAAGATACGTTGTCACGGAGTTGATGCAGAGCGACCTCCATAAGATTATCGTCTCTCCTCAGCCACTCAGCTCGGATCATGTCAAAGTTTTTCTTTACCAGATTTTGAGAGGTAATTTTTCTTCTTTTAAATTTAATGAAAATAATGTACTATTTATTTTTTTCTGTTTCTTAATGTTTATCCTCAAGAGGCGCCCTCATCTTGAACAAGTTTCCCATGGGAAACTTGTTCTTTTTATTTAATATTCTGAAATAGTATGTTATGACTAGCAAACATTAATTATTAATTAATTATTAGTCAATTAATTAATTAATCCTGTTGTAAGAATATGGCAGGCCTGCTGCCTGCCGTCATCGTCGTGGGTAGAGGCGGCAAGACTTGGGCTCAGCTGCAAAGGCTGCTTCAGTGGCAGGGAGGGTGTTTTAGCAGCCCTCAGGGCACAGAAAGGACACCTGGATTTAGGAAACCGCTCGGTGTCTGTGACTGTCCCCACCTAAGGCAGGACTTGCTCTGCCCAGTTTGTGCATCCACAAGTTTTACCCTTTTGCCGTCATCGTCGTGGGTAGAGGCGGCAAGACTTGGGCTCAGCTGCAAAGGCTGCTTCAGTGGCAGGGAGGGTGTTTTAGCAGCCCTCAGGGCACAGAAAGGACACCTGGATTTAGGAAACCGCTCGGTGTCTGTGACTGTCCCCACCTAAGGCAGGACTTGCTCTGCCCAGTTTGTGCATCCACAAGTTTTACCCTTTCATGGGGTGACTGCGTGTGGACCAGAGATGAGACGTTGGAATCGTGTGAGAAATGAGCCAACGGCTGAGTCTTTGCTGATCCCCTCCAGGAAGACGCTGTCAGCCTTAGCCTCCTTCTCAAAGTGAAAGTGTTACTTATTTGAATTTTGTTTAATATTTCAGGTCTGAAATATCTACATTCTGCTGGCATTTTACATCGAGACATTAAACCAGGGAACCTACTTGTGAACAGCAACTGTGTTCTTAAGGTGCTACTTAAATTTATTGAAAATGTACATCTGTATTGTTACTTTTCTAGTGAAAAGTTTTAAAATCTTCTAGATTATAAATATTATAATGCCAACTAAAAATGTGACGTGATTTCAGATAAAACTGTAGACATTTTAAATGGATGTGGAATCAAGTAGCGTAACTTCTTCCTATTCCCCTCTCCCTTGCTTGTGCAGTTACCTCAGATTGATTTATTTAAATGCTGTTTTGGGATTTCCTGCTTCATTACCAGGAGGTTACCTATTTGAAATGCATTAAATGTTTTGGTTATTTTAATTTTTTTATTTGCCTTCTCAATTTAGATTTGTGATTTTGGATTGGCCAGGGTGGAAGAGTTAGATGAATCTCGCCACATGACTCAGGAAGTGGTCACTCAGTATTACCGAGCTCCAGAAATCCTGATGGGCAGCCGTCACTACAGCAATGCCATCGACATCTGGTCTGTAGGCTGCATCTTTGCAGAGTTACTTGGGCGAAGGATATTGTTTCAGGCACAGAGTCCCATCCAACAGGTATCATTGCATTTCCACTTCACAGGTTTCCTGCTGCGTAATTCCCCTAAAGTTGATTAAGGGAGTGGAGCATCTCCCTTATGAGGAGCGGCTGAGGGAGCTGGGGCTCTTTAGTTTGCAGAAGAGGAGACTGAGGGGAGACCTCATTCATGTTTAGAAATATTTCAAGGGTGAGTGTCACGAGGATGGAGCCAGGCTCTTCTCGGTGACAAACAATGATAGGACAAGGGGTAACGGACACAAACTGGAACACAGGAGGTTCCACTTCAATTGGAGAAGAAACTTCTTCTCAGTGAGGGTGACAGAGCCCTGGCCCAGGCTGCCCAGAGAGGTTGTGGAGTCTCCTTCTCTGCAGACATTCAAAACCCGCCTGGACGCCTTCCTGTGTAACCTCATCTGGGTGTTCCTGCTCCGGCAGGGGGATTGGACTGGATGAGCTTTGGAGGTCCCTTCCAATCCCTAACGTTCTGTGATTCTGTGATTCTGTGATTCTGTGAATCGGTTGTACTGATGCGTTGTGAGCCTCGGTCTTTGGTTTGGTTTGGTTCACACACAGGCGAAAAACAAAGCTACTTTGAAACACTGCAGTGGTAGCTTCCAGACTGTAATAAAAGTAGTGGTTATTAACGGTATTAACATTTTGAAATGTGTATTTCCTTGTAATCCTGTGTAATCTGCTGCAATACCGAAGCCTGCTGGAGCATTTTACTGAGATAAGGCAAAGGTGGTACAGCCGTGGTGATAAAACCATGTTATGTGGATGGCATTCACTTTATTTGGTTGAAAAGTTGTACAAAGTTACACAAGAGTTCCTAGCTCTTTTATTATCCCTGTGCAGTAGAATGGTTTACAAAGTTGACCTGGTTTTTAGGGTAATTTTGTGTGGTGTGTTGGTTTGCATTCAGTTGAGACTATTTGGGTTTTAGAACGAGTAACGCACCGTTAACAGTACTTCATGATTTTCTTATTATGTGAATTGCAGTAAAATACTTCACTAAACCTGCGAGCAAGAATAGCTCCCAGCCTTGAAAATCAGCTTCTGTCAGGGGATTTTTTCAGTGAAATTACAAATGTTTGTATTTGCTATCTGCTAAATGTATATGTTAGTATTTGTAATGTACCATTTGTAAAACAATGGTTAAATGCAATTTACGCTACCTTAAGAATCTGCTGTCGTGGTCAAATGTACGAGCGTGTGTCAGAGCTCTGAAATGTGCGTGTTCTGCCCCTGCAGCTGGATTTGATCACAGACCTGTTGGGAACGCCGTCGCTGGAAGCAATGCGGACGGCGTGCGAAGGCGCCAAGGCACATATACTCAGGGGTCCTCATAAACAGGTACGGCTGTGCGTTCCTGCCCTGTCCACACGTGGTCAAGACAAACAACCCTTCAGTCAGCCCCCGCGAGAGAGGATTTCCTCGGGCGGGATGCTGCTGCTGTGCCATCGCGGCGTTTCACATCTCGATTAAATTCTCACAGTGCGTTTGTTCCCAAATACTGCGCTTGGACGCTTGACCTCAGCGCTGTCTCTGCCTGCAAACCAGGCTGAGCTGCTGGCGGTGGTGTGGGGTGGGTTAATGGTGTGGTCGCTCACACGAGTGCGGAGGCACGGCGGGTTTCACCAGTAAAGTGCATTTCTGGCATCTGTCTCGTACGTATTGCTTGAGTTGGTGATACAGGTGAAAGTCTCCTTTTTTTGTGTTTTGAGAGCTGTTTTGAATGAAGATGTTAAATGTAAGTGATAATACTGGCAAGAGATGTAAATTAAAATTGACGGCCTAGTTCAGAACGCCCCAGAGGGACTCCTGTACCGAGGGATCAAGGGCGTTAGGCAGGGAAATTGCCCCTTAGCCAGCACCAAATGGTCCCATCACCCATCCCTGCACTGACCTGAGCTGTTCGTGAAAGGCTTAGCAAGACACTGAAAAGTGAGCTACAACATTCAGTGTATCTGAAGCAAAAGTTAGTTTAAAAAAACCCCAGAGAGAAGAGACGGGATGGTGTCACCTTGCTGACCGGGCAATAAAGAGGGCAAATGAAATGTGCTGTTAATAGACAGGAGGAAATGCTCGTGCAGGGATCCACAGTGCAGTGTAAAGCAGTGTGTCCACCCAATGTGGTCATTCTAATGATTGCTAGATAGTAAAAATTAATGAAATTAATAACCTGTACATGTTGATACATCGGATCTTTCCAGTAGTTAAGTTTGCCTCTTTATTTTCTGCATGTTGAAGTCATTTCTCAAATGTCTACTCACAGCAATAGTAGTTACCATAGAAATGAGTCTATATTCTGCTGTGTTATTAACACGTGGGAGTTCTGCCTCCCTGGCACTTCTCATAGCATCAGAGCCATTGAGGTTGGAGAAGACCTTTAAGATCATTTTGATTCACTGCATCAAGTTCTCTCTGTTCCATTTTGTGACAGGTTTTTTTTTCTTTTAGCATTAGTAAAAGGAAGATTTCCTAAAGAATTTCTCTACCACTTTTAAAACAAATCAAGTCTATTTCTTTGCTGTCGCCTGCTAGAAGAGTTGTAACTTTTAAGCACGTAGTCCTGCACTTTCAAGGTTTGAGATGTTTTAAAAAAGTTTTACAGTGATTGAAGCTGTGAGAAATACATCGCTATACTTCCTATATAAAATTATGTAACAGCCTGTGAATACATCCAGATACTTTATAGAATACTTTGATTTTAAGTAGTGAAAATTTGATAATCGCTTGGCATTTCCAGAGTGCTGAACAGTCTCGGGCTGGTGGCTCGTTTGCAAGTTGGAAATAGGGGTCACAGTGTGTCTGGTGGAGTTCTTTAGTGTGCTTCTCTGTTCTCCACTTCTCCGTGTCTGAATGCAAATTCATGGCTTTTCATCTTTTAAAATGGAGATTTTGCTGGTTATAAATAGCTAAATGTTACCAGTTTCTTAATTAGATTAATAGGGAGAGAAAACCAAGTTGTAAACTGGTGATTACTTTGTCGCACAAACTATTTTTAGTCGATGTAGGTGAGCGTAGTAGGAGTGAAGGGGTAGAGCATTTTGCTGCTTTGTAAAAATAGATTAATCATCAAGTTTCTGATTAAAAAAAAAAACCCACCCCACCGTGTGTTGGCATAACGAAAATTTACACACTACATAGGCTTCTTTGTCAGGTTTGTAGTTAAAACTTCTACTTCGCATTGAGGTGCCTTGATAAAGCCGCTCACAGCGCGCCCCGAGCCGATGGTCCAGACCCAGGGTGGAAATTGAGGTTTCCTTTCCCTCATCTTCCTCTTCTTTTTCCCGTTCCCTTCAGAGCAGTAACCGTTCCCTTGGTTTGCAGACTTGGCTGTGGGGCACTCTGCTGCCCTTCCCTGAGCTGACAGGAGTAGGAATAATGTCGATTAAGCAGGAAAGTGTTTTACTGGATTTTGGAAACTGGCGTTGTTGGGGCTTTATAGAAAACACCTTTGAAGCCTGTTCCATTTATAGCTGATGCTTTAAAATGATTGGCATGCAATGAATGCTGTTGTTGATGAATCTTTTTCATTTTGATCTGCTCGAGGCACACTTCTTCCCGCGTGTTAGGACCATGGGGACAGGAGTTGTCTTTGCGTTTTGCTGCCTTAGTGATAACGTTTAATTCCAGAGTCAGAGGAGCCTTTCAGGCTACAGAGTGCGTCTGCAGTTAGAAGTTGTCAGATGTTGGGTAAAATCGTGTTAAATTATGATGAGGAGAGCAGCCGTTGTCTCTGCGCCCGCAGCTCCGCAGCCCCCGCACGTAGCACCACGAGCTGCCGGGATTTGGGCTCACCCCGGCTGCGGGAAGGGCTCACGCTCGCAATCCCAGCACGGGCTGGGTGGCCCCGTTGGTAAAATCCATCTTTGCCTGGGTATTTGTACCCTGGGGTTTTTTCACTCTCAACCAAAACTGGAAACTTTCAAGCTCTTGTGCTCGTGAGCAAACGGGGGAAATACGGCAGGAAAAGGGTCTGCAGGGCTGGGTTTGTGGGGGTACCCAGAGCTCCCCCAGCTTCATTCACCCCCATGGCTGATGCCCTGAGAATGCCCCTTTCCCTTCCCCCAGTCCTTCAGCCGTGGCCTATTTATCTCTATGTAAAATGCTGGGTGCCTGAAGGTCATTTTAATTGTGCTCCATGTCACTGCCAGTTAGATATGGATCGTCTGGGTAAGGAAAAGCAAAGTAATCCATAATTTGGCGGTGACTGAGATCAGAAAAATGAAATACTGGAAATGATGAGTTTAATCAAACCCCTGAGCAGCTACAGCTTAGAGTGGTGTCTATATAGAAAAAATAAAACTTAAAAAATATAGATTGGTCCGGGGATTACGTCTGCTCGAAGGGAAAGGACCGGTTAGAGCTCTGCGGCAGTTGCTGAGTTTTGTGATAGCGGCTGTGGTTTTGTTGGGCAGCGCATGTCCCTTCGCACAAGAACTTTGTCCTTGGTGGCTGTAAAGCGGCTGCAGCGGTGTCGGTGCTGATGGATGTGACAGGACAACTCTGCGCTTTCTTTCTCCTGTTTCCCCACAGCCATCCCTTCCTGTCCTATATACGCTCTCCAGTCAGGCTACGCATGAAGCAGTTCATCTCCTTTGCAGAATGTTGGTCTTTGATCCAGTAAGTATCATTCCACGTTATTTCTAATACTTTTTGTTTTAACGGCTTTTGTTGTCTGCTACTTAAATGAATATTTTAAGTAAAGGGCTGCTTTAACCGGGTTTTCTCCTACATTGCATTTCTTTTGGGTCTGTAAAAGACATAAAAGTATCTTCTTATAATTGGTCGAATAATTCCCCCTGGAGTGGGGGTTTCGCAGTTAAAATCCAGTGGTCTTTTGAAGAAGGCGACACCAAAGGCAGCAGACGCGGGTGTTGGTGAATCACGCTGTCTTTTCCTAGCGAGGTGTAGGTAGCAGAGCAGCAGATACTTTGATGCAGCTCTAATTAGAGACGCGTGGGCGTTCAGGGTCTTGCAACACACACAAAATTCCTCCTGCATCCACGCAGTCACGTAACAGGATCCTGTTTCCACTGAGCATCTGCTTTCCTAATGAAAATCTGCTGCCGTGGATTTTGGATTCCATCTCTTGGGCTCACCTTGCGAAATTGTCTCTAGAAAATGTGATACCTGAATCGATGATCTTACCCATTTCGTCTTTACAGGGAAATCCCTAACTTTTCACATGAGAAGTAGACAAATGGACTGAACTGCAGAGGAGGAGGCTTGTGATTGATAAAGTGCTCAGAAGACAGCTCCTTTTGATTTAATCTTTTTAAACCTTAAGATCGCTTTACTGAACAAAAACATAAAGAGTTAAATCGTAATTTCCACGTAAACAAACCTAATTTTGTTCCTGTCGAGCTCCCTCCACACTCAGGATACTGTTATTCCCAAATCACATTTAAATAAATGTGGGTTTGTTTTTTTAAAGAATCAGGACAGTCCTTTAGAGCAGGTGACTTTAATCTAAAAATTCTCCTGGGAATTGCGGCAGTTGGGTTGCACTTTGAGCTTTGCCACTGCTTTTGCTCTGTATCTTTGAGCAAGTGACTTGTTCTCTGCTGCGTTCCGTTGCTGTTTTTACATTCACCTGTAACAGACTCCATGACACCCGGCATTTGCAGCAGCGTTTCTGTCTGCAGTTCTTTAGAAGCAGGCAGTGTTCTCCTTTGCTGACGAGGTGGTGTTGGACTGAGCGCTTTACCTGAGTTATGCACTAAAACGTCTCCGTCGTGTGGGAGCAGACTTCATAACCTAACCCGTTGCTCTGGCCGCTTCGTGCCTGCGCTGCCTTCGCCGCTTGCTTTCTGAAACTCGATGTGTAAAAGCATTTCTCGGAGCTCCAGATGCCATAATCTGAATTATTCTGTTATCAGTGGTGCTTGAATTTGTTTCACTTTAAATACGTACTCGAGCGATCATTCAAATCTTTTGCGGAGTGTGGACCTACCAAGCGCTGTGTGTGCTAGCTTTAAATTCTTTGGGCTTGTCTTGATTTACTGGAGGAGTGATAGTTTTAAGGTTATCTGGAGAAAGTAATCATTGAAATACATCTTTCCAAAAATCATATCAGCAGCATTTTCTATCTTTAGCTGTCGTAGGAAAGGTCAATGTCATCCTAGCAAAGCCGCTTGTTTTTGAGCAAAACCTTCCCCCTAGTGGCAAAGCTTGCGGAGCTGAAACGTTCTCTGACCTGCAGTGATCCTTTGATGTCGTTAGGCATTTATAGAACAATCCAGAATTAACTGATGGATAAGCATTCTGTGCACTGTTTCAATACCTCTGAAAATGTTCTAACTCTTTTTCTTCCTTTTCTTCAAACGCACCACATCAGTCCAAAAGGATATCTGCTAAGGATGCCTTAGCCCACCCGTATCTCGACGAAGGGCGGTTGCGATACCACACCTGTATGTGTAAATGTTGTTTTTCCACATCTACTGGAAGAGTCTATACCAGTGATTTTGAACCCATCACTAACCCCAAATTCGATGACACTTTTGAGAAGAACCTCAGTTCTGTGCGGCAGGTGAAAGGTGAGTGGTGGTTGCCTCTGCGTCCGCACGGATCTGCTCCGTCCTGCAGCACTCGGTCCCTGGGACGTGCAGTCTGGGTGCAGGTACTAACCCGGGGCCTTCTGCTCTTGGGGCTTATCCCACAGGAGCTACTGGAAATAATTTCTTCTCACTGAAAGACCAGAATTGCTTGTGAATGTTCTGCCATAACGTAATACCACACGTGTTAGCTGACACGGAGGAGTCTATGGGTTTCAAACCTTTATTCCTTACTAGAATGCACTTTCATTAAAAGGAAGCTGTATTTTCCTCCAGACTGCGTTGCGTGTTACTGAAGCAAAAAGCGCTAACGTTACGGTGTGTTTTGTTTTTCTCCTATGTGCAGAAATAATTCATCAGTTCATTTTGGAACAGCAGAAAGGAAACAGAGTGCCTCTCTGCATCAACCCTCAGTCTGCTGCTTTTAAGAGCTTTATTAGGTAACTGTATGTAATCACATCTGATATTAATTCACGTTTATTAGTAGTACAGAGTTCACACATCCAGAATGGTTTTATGTTTGAAGTTGCTGAGAGTAGGAAAGGCCCATAGGGAACTTCTGCAAAATCATAAATACCTTAAGCACGTGTGTGGCTACGTTTTAAAAATACTTTAATGAATTCTTTGAGCATTTCAGTAAAATGTGCAAAAGTTTCAAGTGATATTTTTGCCTAAAAGTAGAGACTGAAAGTCAGAATTGCAAGATTGACAAGTTAGAATTCTGATCGTAGAACTGCACTGTGCGTGGCAATTAACGACTGATAGACGGAGAATCGTTAGGAAGAGGAGTAGAGCAAGTGTAGCGCAGTGTTTGTTGGTGGTGGTGTGAACTTGTTTTGGTTCGGTTTTGGTGGTGGTTTCTTTGGTTTTCCATGAAGTGTGTGTGTGCTGGTTGGGAATCACCGTCCCGGCCCTCAGCCGTTGCCAATGAGCACTGATTTTCTGTGTCGCCCGCGTTGCAGTTCCACGGTCGCTCAGCCCTCCGAGATGCCGCCATCTCCGCTGGTCTGGGAGTGAAGTGGGAGACAGAGACTACTGACGGCGCGGGGTAGCTTTCCACTGGAGTCTGGGATTTGCAATTCTGGAGGTTGATCGTACTTGTACTATAATTTTACTAATGAAGTTTTAAATTAACAACCACTACTTGTACAATACGAATAATATTTAGAAATGTACTAGACTTTTAATCTTGTAAAGTGGTTGTGCTTTTAGAAGAAAATATTTTACCCAGAGTTGCACGTGTTTTATGAATTCTAGTGCAGCTGTGATGGCTCAGCTCAGAACAAACAGAATCGAACCAAATTTGGGGAGGGTTGTTGGTTTTTTTCTTTTTTTTTTCCCTTCTTTTCTTTTTTTTTTATTGAAGTGAGATTGTACAAAAAGATAGACGTGCATTTTGATATCGAGCCATTCCTGAAGATTTGGGGTTTTCTAAAGCTAAGGAATACAGAAACCTTGACTGCGACCAATCATGAAGTCCCGTCGGGTGACAGAGGCCACGGGAGTGGGGCTGTCCCCTGACGACCACATCGTATAAATAGCTTCTCACTAGAGCTGTGGTGGTGACGTGTGCTGTTCTCAAACCCAATGTTGTGAGTAGAGAGAATGAGTTTGTGACTAGGAGAGACTAAACTTCTGTTTCCTTACCCAGTATAAATATATATATATATTTAATCTATTTTTATTAGAAGTTTTTCTGCTCTTTCTTACATAAACCCCCCAGCATGCATCTTCTATGTGTGTAAATAATTCCATTTATGGGCTAATTTCAGAGATCCCTGACATCATTGCTGTATAGAGAGAAACTAGCTTGCACATTTTAGGTCTGTGAAATTTTGTGAGAATTTTTTCCTGCACTGGACAGTTGACAGAAAAAAAAAAAGAGGAGAAAAAAAAAAAGGAAAAGGAAAAAAAAAGCACATAGGGAATTACGTTGATTGTGTTCGTGTCCTTAGGCGAAGCTGTGGAAGTCTTGAAATGTCACAGTAGTAAATAACTTTTATTACTTTTTGGCTAATTCTTTTTCTGTTGGAACACTGAATTCTGTGCATATGTATATATGAACACAAATCGAAGGCCTCTACCTCCTGGAGTATACAACTTGGTTTGTTTACCTCCACATGATTTTTTTTTTTTTAAGTTCAGTGTGGAGACTTGAAACTTGAATGTCCCTTCCAACTTTTGTATTTAAAACAGGACTAGAAAATTGAAGACTGTTTTTCACCTGTACAAAGAAATACTGAAGGGTGGTCTTAAAATTTGAGCATTGGTCTGGAGAAAAACCGTGGTGTTTGTTATGGACAATTAACTGTTAAAGTTATTGTAAGTTATCTGTATTTAGCAGAGTATTTTCAACAAGAGTGGAGCTGAGCTGAAATTGGAGACTATTAGTAAGTTATGTTTGGAAGTTTTAACTTCAATGAAGTAATTATTTGCTGTGAAAGAGACAAACATTGAATAACTGAACAAAGATGGTGCAATATCTTTGTTTTTTATGAGGCTCCTGAGAATTAAACCAACTGAAGCATTTCAATCCGCTTGAGTGAGCAAGGTGTGCGCGTAACCGAGCCCCGGGAGACGCTGGTGTGAGAGGTGAAATCTCAGAGGTTGTCAGTGATGTGGCACCCTTGCTGGTCACTTTGTAAAATGTAGATTTGAAGTACAGTGGTGAAAACATTAAATGTGACATTTGAAAACCAAGTGGCGTTATCTTCATTTCCTGCCTGATCCGATACCTTTGTTTAACTGTAAATCTGGATTGAAGACTGTCTGAAAGAATACAAGTAAAGAGAGTTGATTGCATCTCATTTTGGGCATGGTTTTGATTATTACACTCGCATGCATACACGCACACACACACATACACGTGTATGTATGCACGTGTATGCACACGTATACGAGTTCTTCAGCAAAATGTTCATTTACTCTTTAAGCTTCATCCTGGATAAAGGCAAAACTTGCTGCTGAAGTCAAAACAAGCAGTTGACGTGCACTTTACTGGGAGGTTGACAGACATCAGGCAAGGGTGGATTTTTCTTAGTTTGCAAAGCCCGTGCAGTTTTCATCAGCACCAGCGCCTTCATTTCAAAGGATCCAACGTGCAGTGGTGTTGCAGGATATGACTGAAAGTGTCCCTGTTTGAGTGTGGCCTTTTTAAAGATCAAACAAGTGGAACTGTAGAGTTAAAGCCTCTGGACCTCACAAAAAATAACCTGATGAGCCTTTTTCGCGCACGCTCTCATCCCAGGGCAGGCACAGACGTCGTTTGTGACTCATCCGTGTGCCTCCCCCTAAAAGTCCCCGTGCTGTTATGAGCTAAATTTCAACATGTTTTAGAGCTGCTGATGGTGGTGTCAGTGTTGCTTCATGGTCGTCTGTTGCTGAAGTAGTCGCCATTAATCCCCTGCCGTTTTTCGTGGTCTGCTCATCAGATTCTCCGGCAGCGGGAGCCTGAGCGTCCGGACGAGCCGTCCCCTCGCTGGCTCCTCTCGTTTCGCCACGCGGTTTTGTGAGCGCTCCCTGGCACCTGGTTTTGTGAGTGCATGGCGCATCAGTGTATTTTTTGGAGCTGATTGCTAGAGGTCCAGGGGTTAATCTCGATGGTAAACATAGAAAGAATAAGATGTCTTTTGGACAGTTCCCTTTCAGCACGTCTCCACGTGAAGGCGGGCAAGGCACGGTGCAGAGTGAGTCGTTGAGATTGGTGAAATGCGTAACTAAAACTGTGTGTGCAAGTGTATACAAACCCAGTGACGGTGATGTTCTCTGTAGCCTCAGCTGCATTTTACACGTGTGACGTCAAGCGGTTGCGATGACGGCCAGAGCTGTCGAGAGCCGTCTGCGGCAAAGGGAACACGAGTGTGCGCGTGTGGAGCGATGTAATCACGAGGTCACCCAGAGCTGCTCGCTTTCCCAACGAGGTTAAAATCGGGCTTGCGGTTTTCAGAGTCGCATTTTAATCAGTTTTAAGCTTTGTCGACATCAATGTCAGGTGCATTACCGATTGTCATCGTACGTTTTAAGCCCTCTAAATACAGCTTCTGCATCTCCTTTTATTAATTGTGCCTTGAGAAGAGTACAGAAGCAGTGAGTGCGAAGAATAACTTCAGAATTGCTCACAAATTGTCAAAGGAGCATCCCAATGCTGGAAGGCCTGGTCTCTGTGTACGTCTTGAAGGTGATGCAAAGGAGCTAAACAAGATCAGCTGTGGAAAAGTAAGTTGCCAAAATCCATTTCCTGCTGTGTGGTGAGGTGTCGCTGACTGACTCCAATCGGTCCATTTACGGAAGTTACAAAGTGCTTTTCTCCTTCAGCCAGTTTATTCGTGGCGCATTTGGGACTTCACTGACCTGCCGGGAGCGTGAACGCTCCCCTGACCGAACTGCTGGGTTTAATATTTACCGGGTAGCAATTTTTCTAATCATCTTTTTTACCCTTTATTTGTTTTAGTAACAGAGTATCTGGAGATCCTTGAACTGTTTGTTCTTTGTAACTTTCTAAAGTTCTTCTGTCGAGTGTAACTTGATGGGAAATGCTGTTCCCTGTACTGCTGTAATCCCGCTCAGGTACGCTTGGTCGCTCTCACACTGTTTGTGACATTGAGAAACGGGGGAAACCGGCATCGGGCAGATAATGGCTATACAATCTGCGTGTACACCTTGGACAACTTCTGTGCTCAATAAAGGGTGGAATTGGAGCCGCTGCATCACCTGCTTCTGCTGTAACGCGCAATAAATCGGGGGTTTTGAACCCAGCTCAGTCCCGGGTGCGGAATTATGAGAAAAAGGCGTTGTTACAGCCCGTAGCTTTTCTGTTTGTCGGGGAGGGCCCAGCCAGGGCGGGGGCGTTACCTGTGCCGCGGCTCTTCCAGCTGCTGGCAGTGGCCGAGACGGGCAAAATGGGTACAAACCACGGGAAAACGGGGCCGGGAGCCGGGGCTGGAGCCGGGGCCGGTGGGCGGGGCTAGAGGCGGG